CTGAGCAACTTGACTTCAAATCCTGCTTAGGGTCACCACTGTAACATTTCTTAATATCAACTAAAAACTCCAGCAGACAGATGCCAAAACCACCACACCTTTCAATACTCAGATTCCAAGGCCAGAAGAGACCATTGTGACCCTCTAGTCTGACCTCCTGTATAACACAGGCCAGAGAACTTCCCTCCAAAATCAGGGCCGCCCAGAGGGGGGGGCAAGTGGGGCAATTTGCCCCAGGCCCCGGACCCTGCAGGAGCCCCCACAAGAATATAGTATTCTATAGTGTTGCAACTTTTTTTTATGGAAGGAGCCCCCCAAATTGCTTTGCCCAAGGGCCCCCTGAATCCTCTGGGCGGCCCTGTCCAAAATTTCCTAGAGCTGATCTTTTAGAAAAACATCCAATCTAGATTTAGAAACTGCCAGTGATGGAGAATCCACAATGAACCTTAGTTAATTGTTCAGTTAGTTAATTGCCCTCACTGTTAAAAAATAATGCCCTATTTCCAGTCTGAATTTGTCTAGCTTCCAACTGAAAGCCACTGGATCATGTTATACCTTTCTCTGCTAGACTGGAGAACCCATTATCAAATATTTGTTCCTCGTGTAGGTACTTATAGGCTGTAATCAAGTCAACCCTTAACCATCTCTTTGTTAAGCTAAATAGACTTTGCCTCTTGAATTTATCACTATACTGTTCGGCTACCTCTGCTTGTCGAAGAAAGATTACTGGTCAAAATAGCATTAGAATAAGAGCAAAGGGAGAAATATATATTACTCCTCCAAACATGCCTCTTCCTAGCCACTTATTAACACATTACTATTTACTAGAGCTGAGCAAAATTTGAAATTTCCATCCCATGGGAAATTCTGACATTTCAACATTTGTTTTAATCCTGAAATGAGACAAAAAGTTGAAATTTAGAAATTTTTCATGATATGCTGAAAAATGTGTATTCGGAAATGTTTAAATTTGTTTCAACATTTCTGATTGAAACAAACCATTGTGACATTCCTGAAAATCAAAATGTTTCCTTTCATTCTGTTGAGTTGACCCCAAAGGCTTCCTTTTGAGTCAGATCAACCTTAAACTGCACTTTCCTGGCATGCTGCTTTATGGGAGTTTGGGGATCCATTGTGTCCTATGAACCGGACTCTCTGCAGGTGAGCAGTGTTTACAGGTTCTGAAAGAAGACACTGCAGGAAGATAGGCAGCTCTTTGAATCTGAGGAGAACAAGAGAGTTGGGATAGGTGAAGGATGGAGGGGGAAATCTCTGTAGCCCTCACTCCTTCCAGCATACACAGCCACAAAAAATGGTTCTGCTCTTTTATAAGATACCGTATATTTTAGTTAAATACACAGAGTTAAGTGCAAAAGAGAAGTCTTTGGGTAACTAATTTGTTACAGCCAGTTTACTATTGCACTTTTCCATTTGATGGCTTAGAAATTCATTCCTCCAGCAGGTTTATCCCTCTATCAAGGATTGACCTCAAAGAGTCTCACAGTTAGATCCTGTCAAAAAATTTCCATCAAAACTGTTTTTGATGGAAAATTGGGTTTTCAACTAAATGAAAATTTACCCAAAAAGTGTCAGAAAAAAAATCCAAAATTCGAAAACTTTTCAGTTTTTTCAAAGAAAAGTCAAAATTTTCCATGGGGGAAAAAAAAACCCACTCTCACCACAGTATTTTAGGGCATGTGTTTTGCCTTGGTCCACAGAAACTGTTTTATTTTGTAACAGGTATACGTTCTTAACAGTTATTTGTATAAGTGGATAAGTGACTTTTGAAAAAGTCATCGGCAGGGCAGATGGTAAATTTACCATTCCCGGCCAGCCCTCAATGCTATAAAAAACAGAACTCCAAAACAACATACAATGGGAAGTCAGAAACACATTAAGAAACTTGAAAAAGAAAAGAAAACTTTCTCACTTGTGCCACTACATCAGACAAAATTCCAAAGGGAGTTTCTGCTATTAACCTCCTCCTCCAATATCATCAAAGTAATTAATAACAGCTTTCAGAATTAGAGTGATGTGAGATTATTTTTTAATCACTGTATGTGCAGAAAGCTCAAGAAAAGCTTCCAGCAATTGCAGATGCAGTGCCAGACCCATTCAGTAACCCCACACATCTATAATTCACAGGGTGCGCTTTCACCAGCCTGAGGACAAAAAATCCACCTATTCTATAAATTGTAAAGATTTTGATGGGATGCCTTTAAACACTGCAGACATCAGGTTAAGAAATTTATATGACAATGTAAAAGGGAAAACTTGGTGTCTGTGGTGGGATTTTGCAGAACAGTGTCATACTGGGCAAACTCCAGTTTAGTCAACTCTAACCTCTTCCTCCTATAATTCATCTTTATTATGCCAAGAAACTCAACAGACATTCCACTTACCCGCCCATTCCACCTTTCTTCCCAACCGCCCAGACACACCGACACACACGCCTTGCAGAGGTTTGAGATTGGGATTAAAGTCCTTGACGAATTGCCAGTAACCACCCAAAAACACAGACTCACAGCTGGATATTTCATTCAAACCAAAAGGTACCCAAACAACAGAAGCTCTGAACCCGATGGAGTTTGGCATAGCATATTCAAACCAATTCTGCCATGAACAATATTCTCCACGGCTCAGTGGACCTTAATTACTGTATAGCGTTACCATGATGGGATGGATCAGTATACCCCATCCACAGTTTAAACTCAGATGCTATAGCTCATGTCTGACCATGCTAATAACTAGACTGAAATACACCAAATGCTTTCTTCCTACTGCTGTGGCCTCCCTCATGGTTGGAAACAATGGCTCAGGATTTAATTTTTCCAGTTTGGACTTTGTAGCATGGTATGGGGTGGTGAAAAGAAATTAGAGGTCATTGCTCAGGGGGTGATAGTCTTCTATTCATCAACTGTTCAAGGTGAAATGTATGCCTAACATATTTTCAAGACAAATAAGGATCTAATGTGGTAAACACAAGTTTAGACTGCTGCTCCAAAACGTTTGTCTCATTAACAGAGCTGAACATGCAAAACTGAATAGGGAGGCATTGGTTGGTATATCAAAGTACTTGATTTTATGAATTGATAAACTTCTGCTTCTAAAGGTTGGCAGCCACTGGATTATATGATTTGCTAAAAGGAATAACACACTCCTGAGTATGTGGCTGTTTGAATGAAACACATTTGTAGGGTGCTGGAGGTATCTGGCTTTAAACCGAGGCTCAGTATATACTGAAGGCCTGCCTTGTCTTTTGCAATTTAAATAATACATCATGAAGATGATGGCGGGAATGCTTATTAGTTCCCATCTCAGCAGCACAGAAAGACTCATTGGTAAATCAAGAATAATGGCATTTTTAATATTTAAAGTCTTTTTTTAAATATTCTTATGCTATTAAAATTATCTCTTAGGGATTTTTTTAAAACTAATGTTTTAATATAAAAAGATATTTTAAAATTTTATCTTCTCTTCTTTGGATGTTTTCTGGCTTCCATTTATTTCAACCTTTCCCTGTTCCTTTTTAGGCTACTCTAATGCTGCTTCCCTCTCATTTTGTAGCTTATCTCCTTACCTGTCCATTCTCACTTTTCTTCCTCTCTTTCCTGGTTCCCTGATCCAGAAACTCTCAATCCTAATCCACCCTCAGATGCAACTCCCTAAAGCTAACACTCTCATTGAAATCTGAGTACTATAGCTTTTCTTTTAGCAGACTGGGAGCTGCCAAATATACTATATCTAGTGTCTCACGCAAAATGCATCCCTCGGTACTTCCTAATAGACCAGGAAAGTCCCCTTTGATTTGCTGATATTCCAGTGGAACACTGACACTTCCAAGAACACTGCAATGTTTTACCACTGCCCAGACACTGCAGCACAGGAAGAATTACTATTTATTTGAGAGCTACTGAACTCTCTCAACTAGGGGTGCATATACACTGCAGCTGGGAGCATACCTCCCAGCGCGGGTAGACAAACTCTTCTTGAGCTAGCATGTGAAAAATGGTAGCCACAGCAGCAGTTTAGGCTAGCCACCCAAGTACATACTCGGGGGTCACGTGCCATTATATTCAGGCAGAAAGCCAGAGCCATCACACATGTCACTGTGGCCATGTAGCTATTTTTTAGCACACCAACTTGAGTAGAGCTCGTACAAGTCTGTCTACCTGTGCTGGGAAGCATGCTCCCAGCTGCAGAGTAGCCAGACCCTAAGGCTCGGTCTACACTACAGACTTTTGTCGGTATAAATACGTTGCTCAGGGGTGTGGAAAATCCACCTCCCTGAGCAACATAGTTATACTGTAGACAGTATAGCGACGGGAGGGCTTCTCCCATGACATAGCTACCACTTCTCAGGGCAGTGGAGTAACTACACTGATGGGAGAAGCTCTCCTGTCGGCATAGGTAGAGTCTGTATGTGTAGACAAGCCCTTAGTGATTTATACCAGCACACTCCAATCAGGATTCCCTACATGGCAACAAATAGCTCTAGTCAGTGAATCCTCAGGCTGGTCCCATTTTCAACTGGGAGCAGCATGCTCCCAACACAAAGACTCAATATAGCCTGAGCACATCTGTATCCTGCAGTGGACAGTGGATATTAGTTGAATGGTCTCAACGGGGGATCAAAAAGACTCAATTTCAGAAAGCACATTATATGGCACTTTAAAGGGTGTGAGGGGCATATCTGCACAGCTTCCACGAGTGTTAGTAAGAGTCACACAGTAGAGTCCACTGAGACCTCCCCGAATAGTTGCCCCTTTGGATAATTGAAAGACATAACATCTTTCTGAAAGCAAGACAAAGGGAACCCTGTTAGTTAAAGCACACACAAAATCTGGTAAATATATACAATGTGGAGGAGAGGAACATTCTGGGGTTTCTGGACCTCTTTCTCCAAATACTCTGATGGTTCAGTCCATGAAAACTCCCTGTTTGAATGCTCTGCCCAGTAACAGCCTCCTTGTATTAGGACATGAACAAGTCCAACTCACTCATTGAGTAAAGGCATGGATGTCCTCCTCTTGCTCTTCTGCACCATATTGGCCTGGTTCCTTAGGGAGATCCGAATGAGAGACGGAGCCAGTCGACATGGCTCCCCATCCACTTGCATGGGGATAGACTTGTATGTTAACAGAGTCACTTCCCGGCACTGATGCAACCTTTCTCCATGACCTCCCACCTGAAGAGCAGCCTGCAGAACAAGAACAAAGAGGAGGAAAGCCATAATGTTACTATCCTATACCAGCCACTTGAGTTAGCTAACAACTCCCTAATCCTGTTTTACCCAGCACTCTATACCCTCTGCTACAAACTATTCCGTTTGCACATGAGACCCACCCTGTTGCAGTAAGTGGTTTGTTCTGTCACAGGGAGATTTACATGCTTGCCATAATACAGCCCAAAAGCAGCAGCTGGTCACTAATTTGGAGGATGCAATGCAAAGAACCCACTATTCCAAATTCATCACCACTAGGAAGTTGCATTTCAGGCCAACCCCACATTTCCCCCCACCTAAATTTGCAGAATGGTTTTCCAGTAAGAGACATGGGTGTACATGATGCATTAAGGCAATGTTCCAATCAAAGCTTTTCAATAAGTCATTGCAATGAGGCATGACCAATGTAATTCCATTCACAGAAAAGACATAAAATGGGACTTAGAATGCTAGAATAAAGTCCTGGAGAGAAGGATCAGTGGGCAGAGGTCAGGTGAAGCAGTCAAACATACATGACAAATTCATGTATCACATGGGTATGAAATTTATCATGTGGAGGTCGCCTCATCATATGTGGTGTACATCTATATTTAGAGATCTAGATAAACACTTATATGCTTGCACACATCCAAGATGCATTTCTGTATATTTCTACATCTTGTTTTCAATTATGATTGCTTGTGTTGCAGAGTGCCTACAGTCTACGACTCAAGGATCAGATTCCATCTGTGCGATCTAAATGCTTTTTCAAGCAACAGTATTAATAGGGGTTTTCTTTCTTACCAAGGCAATACTGTCCTTGATGTGAATTAGATTAATCTGAAATCATTATTATGACAGTTTATATAGCAATTCAGCATCAGGAGAAGACAAGCTGAAAAGAGCAAGGAGAAAAACCTTGTTCGATAACTGCAGCTGGAAAGCAACTAAATGCTATGTTCAAAAATCGTCTTGAAGAAACGAAACAAGAGAGCTGTACCATGTGCCCTCTGAGACGCCCGCCCACTGCCCCAACATTCTGTCTATAAGTTGACTGACACAAGTCAACAGAAACAGGGCTGCATAGTTTTCATCAAACAACAACTTCTTGACCAACAGCATTCTGTTAACTTAAAGAAAAAAATTAGCCAGCTTTCCAAGCCGATCTCCTCTCTCCTACCTTAGTACATGCAACCTCTTTAAAACCCAAACCAGGAGTAAAGAAGCAGTGGAAGAGGCAAAGGGGATAAAAACATATCAGAGACAAAAAGGTAGACAGAGGTTGTTAATGACTCTTGCAGGGCCCTTGAGATTTAGGCAGGCATCTTGGGGCAGAAACACTGTATTTTAATAAAAAAATGTGAATATTGTCTATCAGATTTTAAAAAATCTATATTAATACAACATTAGCATCAAGAGTTACAGGAACTGAAGTCACTGTTTTGTTTCCCACAGGAATCTTAACTGTCCTATTATGAATATAACACCTGGGCTATTGGTTACATGATGATGATCATCATCATCATATTACTTAACATTTATACAGGGCTTTTCATCCAAAGATCTCAAAGTGTGTCACAAATGTAGGCAAGCATATGATAAAGCATAGTGTGATGCACAAAATGTCTGCTACGATACAGAAAAGGTCTATTGTTATAGTGACTCTTCAAATCACAAACAAATATAAAACCTTAACTCTGACCTCAGTTTCTTTTAGGTAGAAATAGCTCACTAAGGGACCTGATTCTGAATTGTGGCCTAAATGAGTTCATGCAGCTCAGGAGAGGGATGGCAAAGGTAGCTGTGCATCAACCTCTGTGGCCCTCTGGAGGCAACCCCAAGGGCTACTGTAACTCACTGTTGCCTGCACTGATTCCCTATAGGATGTTACATTGTAAATACAGTTCAGTGTATTCCAGCTACACCTTCTGATTCCTCCAATACATCCTGCCCCTTCCCTCAGTTATAACGTGACATACATCTACACCAAGCACTGTAATAGTGTGGGTAATGAAAGGTTATTCCACCAGACCTACACTACTAGGGAATTCCTCTGATGCTAGGGGTACTCCCAATCAGTTGCCACTGGCTTTGTGGCACCCGTATGATAGCTCCACCAGTAAACAAAGGCTATAGCAGAAACCCCAATCAGGGGCATAGACATTTAAAGTAGGTCTAGCAGTAAGGCATCTTAGTTTTGCTTATGATGGAGATCAAGTTTATTTCAGTGTGAGGAATTAGATGTCTGCATTGCGGATGGCTGTATGCTGAAACTGAAAAGCACCTTGGCATGGAACTGAAGAGCCTGTGAATGTATTTGGGAGCTATGGCGAAAAGGTACAAAGACTGAGGTTGGTCTGGAGGGTAACACCACTGTAACTAGTGATCTTGTGTTTTTAAGGTTTGTACTCGGGAAATGCACTTAGAGTTAACTTTTTTGTGGGAGAACAAAAGAAAAACAATTATAGTGGCACTTACCTGATGCTTTAAAAGCACTTTACAAACATTATTCAATCCTCACGACACCTTTGTTGGGCAGGTAAGAATTATCACTCCCATTTTAGGTTAAGTGATTTGCCCAAGACTACACAGCAAATCAGTGTCAGAAGGGAAGCAGAACTCATATTTCTAGATCGCTGCTCTGTGTTCTGACCAGTAGACAACACCCCTTTCAAAAAGTTTTATTCCTTTTCCACTAAATCACACAATGTTCTATTATTTCTCAAGTACCATGTTATCTTGCTCAGGGTTTTAAATGGCATAATTGTAATGCATAATTGAAAGGTGATGACACAGGATTAAGGTTGCTATGGAAATGCTCACTCTGAATTCCATGGCTGGTGCATATAAAAATGCAATGCTTATTTATGCATCAGCATCATTTTGTGTATTAATGTACTCCACATATATAGATCTTCTTATGTAAATATTCATTATAACGCAGCACAAAATAAATCAGCCTCACTGGCTTTAGGCAAGACTTCTGAAGGCACTATAGACCTTGAGACCAAAGAACAAGTCAACAGAATTTGAGCTAACATATGCAGACTGTACATTTTTTTTTAATCATTTATAATATGTGAGCACCAGCTAGAAAACACAAATACTTAAAATAAACAGTTGCACTACTCAATCAAGAGTGTTTCTCTTATGGTCTCTGGTCTTCTTAAAATTTCTCTCTCCCCCTCATTCTGATAAAACAGGGAAAACAGGAATTTTCTGAGAATATTTAATGCAGTAATTGAAATTCTTTTAAACTATTCAGATTTTTAGGTGTGACTTTAGGTGGAGAATTTTTGCAATACCAGTGATGGTCAATTCTAGATGGTCAGTTCTAGAGTACAGCAGAAAGGAATGCTCAATTTCAAGATGGAGATGTGGCCTTTAAAGACCAGAAGTCCCAGCATGCAGTGCTCCATATTGCAAGTAAGCTGCAGGACACACCTACATACTGAAGACGAGGCGGGCTACAATATGTGTCTATTTTATGCAAATTAGATATGTCCATTGAGCACCTAGTGATTTGACAATGTGGTACTTCTCAACCTTGCAAAGTTGGGACAACCTTTAATTATGTGATTAGTACAGATGGTTTTAAAAGAGTAAGTACATTTCATAAAAAGTTTTAGGGGGAAAAAAAACCTAAAGATGTTTCTTTTTCTTTTCTTTTTTTCTTTTTTTTAAGCAAAATTATCCCACTACCCCACCCCCCAACACACATGATTTCTTACTTTTTCTTTTCTTTTCTCACAGTGAAAAAGTGAAAGTAGGATTTTTTTTTTGTCAAAATATTTTGTTGGTTCACAAATTTCATCTTTTTTTTAAAGTGTAATTTCTCTACACACACAAAAAAAAATTGTTGCTGGAACCCTATTTTCCAACAAAGAATTTCTGACCAGCTCTAATGTATATGGAAAATATATAAAAACCACAGTTGTGGTGGGGCTGGTAACAAACAGCAGTTATTGTGCGACCATAGAAGTTTCCCATAGTACAAACACACATACACTTGCACACACATCCCTTCTATAATACTTTAATCTTCTTTGAATTTTGATTTGGGAGCATTTTGAAGCACCATTAGATATGTTCAAAGCAACCAGTTTTTCAGGGAGTACATTTTTATAATGAAATAATACTTCTCTTCCTTTGAAAACCATTATTTGTTCATAATTTTTTTAAAAATTGAGGCAAAAACAAATTTTTTCCACCTTATTGAACCCAGGAAAGCATAGAAGAGAATCTTTTTTGTATGAAACATTGTGCATCCTAGTGTTGAGCCATGGACATGAGGTGTCTCATACAAAATTGCACACAGAATAGTCCCAGTGCCCTAAGCAGTGTGAAATCTACTGCATGCAAAAAAAAAAAAAATACTCAGCTCTGCAAAAATTCTCACCAGAGAGGCCATAGTGAACCCAATGACCTCAATGTAACCATCATCATGGCGCTGAGGTTCAAAGTCTCTGTGGTCGCTGGGGGTACCCCAGGGCATTGTGCCAGCACAATACCTGCAGAAAGAGGTTTAGAAAATGAGAGCTTTAGGGAGCATATTAAGAATTTGCCCCACTGGGTCTTACAACAATTAAAAGAAAAGAAAGCATAAGTACTGGCCAGTTCTTTATCTTCTGGGTGAATAGCCATACATCTATTCCAAAAGGACTTAAAATCCATTCTGGGGCCTCCCAGTGACCATACATATAATTACATGAAAGATCAGAAGGGGAACCTGCCCTCCAACTTTCAGGCTGGTGGGGCAGGCAATTAGTTTGTCTATCCCAATTTCTGGTAGGTTGCTGAGTGGAGATGGGAGGCAGCAGAGAGGGGACAGTGCCTTTTTGCAGTAGTGCTCAGGACTCTTCTCTCCCGCCTCCCCCCAATCCTTCTTCAGATCAGCTGTTCAGCTGGATTTTCACCTGCAGCCTCCTGCCAACAAAGGCTGCTTTGTGCCCCTACTAAGAAGGCAGGAGGCTGAAACCGAGCTTGCTTTCTGCAGACCCTAGTTTCCTCCCTCCCTCCTGGCTCAGAAGGTCTGGGAGCAGAGGGGATGCAAAAGCTGGGATATATTGGAGGAGGAGCTCCAGACAGTGGTCTCCTACCTAATGGCTGCTGCTGCTTCTCTCTCCTGCCTACCCTTAGGGATATATGGGAGACCTTGTGGAGCAGGGGGTGGGGAGAACTTTGGAGAGGAGACACCACAAAGAACCTTGCAGAGAGCGCAACACAGGAGGGAGAGGAAGTGAATACTTTGGAAAGGGAATCTTTGGAGAGGGGACAGGGAAGATGGGGGAATATTGGGCTTTTAAAAACACACCCCACTGTTTGTGACACCCTCTGAGATGTTAGGAAACAGTGTTTCTTCCAGATCCATTTGGAGCTCTTCTATTTGGAAGGTACTGATCTGATTTTTTCCCTCCTGCTTTGTGTTTCTAATGAAGCAGAAGACAACTCTGTTCTATCTGTTGACTTCCTTGTTCAAGTATTAGGTGCACAACTCTGGAAATTGTGTTTGTTAATTAATTGTTCCTATGAAGCCAGCAGTTTGTTGTTACTGGAGCTTACCTGGGTATATTTAAAAACACTATACATTGGAACTTCAGCTCCTGAATCTTTGGGGTCAGGTCTGTTCCATCACACTGCAAAAACCAAAGCAACAGAACAAAGAGGGGTTTGTAAATGGGGTCTCAGACAGGATAATAATTGCTGTTACCCCATTTTGTAACAACCTGCCCAAGAACATGGATTGCATTTTAGAAACACCCATCTCTCTATAACTTAGTTGCTGGGCACCATTCACTCTCTGTGAGATAGGTAAGGATGTGTTACTCAGTGGGAAATTGTCATGTATGTAAATTCCCAAAGGCTTTCTACAAAATGTGTTTCAAATGTCACGGTCAAAACTGAAAGTAACAATCAATGGTCTGGTGTGATTAGGTCTGTTTTCTCAGCATTCCCTCTCTCTCTCTCTCCCCTTCTCTCTCTCTCCCCCTCACACTCACACTCACACTGCACAAAATGATGCCATGCTTTCCTATACTTACCACAACTTTAACATGTTTGGATAAATCTCTGGAACTTCTCTGCAGGAAGTCTGAAAAGGCTGCCTACCAGACATAGGAAAAGGGAGGGAATTCAAATCAGAATTTTTTTATTTGAATGATCTACAGATTCTTCCTTTCACTTTCCTTCCTTTGCATCCCTCCCCAGATTCTGCCACCACATACCATCCTAAGCTAAACTCTTTTCTTTCCTGCTCCCATTGTCAGAGTTTTAGGCCAAGTTTCTTCTGTTAGCATCCAGTCAACAGTGCATGTTTCAAATTCTCAAGAGTCCCTTGAATCAGAGCCAGGGGGCGAGGACACAGAAGGGAAGATTGGTACACTTGTTTTGCTGCATTCAGGTGCTACACTAAGAAAAGGCACTCCACTTTGGAAGATTTACCATGGAATACCATTGTGCACCCAAATCATCATGCAGATTCTTGCTCTGGTTTGTTTGTTTGTTTGTTTGTTTTTAAAGCATAAGGCTTCTGGGTGTGATGACAGTGATAGAATCTGACAGCGGAAAGACATGTATGATGGCAAGTATTATCCAGTCAATGACCTCCTTTCCTAATTACACCTTAGAATAAAGCTGAAGACCCGTCCACATCCCTCCTGGATAAGAAATTGCCATCTGATTTGCATATTCATGTATGAAAATGAGATGCTCCAAATAGCAGCTCTCTGACCTCCTCCTCTCTTTAGCTCCAAGTCCAGGAATGCTCATCAGGGGCTGAAAGATATGGTCAACGATTTTTCCTATGCGCTAGCAATTTCCCCAGTAAATTCAGTATCCAAGTGCTGCCCACAGATGGGAATAAATGTGAACACAACAGTGAAGCGCTTGCCAATCTGCAGCAGCGGGTACAGGATATTGTCAGTCCTTCCTCCAAATGCTGTAGCACTCTTCTGAACTACTAACTATTATGGGGAAATAATACTTCAACCCCTTCCAAACAGACATGGGGAGGCATTGCCAGAAGTAATAATAATAATAATATATGGAGATATACCTATCTCCTAGAACTGGAAGGGACCCCGAAAGGTCATCGAGTCCAGCCCCCTGCCTTCACTAGCAGGACCAAGTACTGATTTTGCCCCAGATCCCTAAGTGGCCCCCTCGAGGATTGAACTCACAACCCTGGGTTTAGCAGGCCAATGCTCAAACCACTGGAAGCAAACTATGTACTTTTAAAGGTGACAGGCAAAAGAAATGGCCATAAGTCTCAGGAGTGAAAGGGAGAGGAAGGGGAATAAATAATAAAAAATTTAAATAAATAAACCAAGGCTATTCTGTAAAATCTATTCGCAACTCACCCCAGCATAAAACATTTTATTTCGAAAGCGACTGTTGAATTTCTCTGGATTTGCTTCTGTAAAAGAAGAACAAGGAAGAAAACAAAGTCGTCATAAGGGAGAAAGTTTGCAAAGCACCCTTGCTGTTCCAAGAAGTTTCATTCCAAGCTTTCCTGGAGGCAGGAAGACAGATTTCCAGCCTTGGCAAGCTGCTAGCTTTCAACCCATGACGGCGAAAGGGCAAGGGAAGTCTTTATTTTCAGCACGATCTACATTAGCAACCCTAATAGAGCAATTCCATGCGTACTGTACATGCACCACCCATTGGTAATTAAAAGGTGAAAAATGTCAAATGAATTTTTACTTTGCAAGAATCTATCCTCTATGCTATTCTTTGCTAGTGGATTTCTATTTAGTGCAACCCCTTCTTGGTGTAAGGTAGAGTGGATGAGGATAAGGGCAGACAGCCCCCAAAGCATGATTCTCATGAGGGAAATTTACCACACCACCACCTTAGAGAGTCATATTGTCTGTCTCACGATCCCACCGTAAACTTCCAACAGCACAATAACAACTTTTCAGTGACACAAGTACACACTGTACACTGAGTAGATCTCCGTTTGGATCATTTCAAATCTCATGAAACATTTGAAACAAAACTGAATGGTTCATAGATTTTCAGGCCAGACGGGATCATTATGATCATCTAGTCTGATATCGTGCATAACACAGGCCATAGAATTCAACGTAGTGATTTCTGTACCTCGCCCAACAACTTGTAGTTAAAGTAGAGCCTAATTAGAAAGAGATCCAATTTTGATTTAAAGATTCTAAGTGATGGAGAATTTATCACATCCTTGGTAATCCGTTTCCAATGATTAATTACTCACGGTAAAAACTTTTTTGTCTTTTTTTTCCAGTTTGAGTTTTCCTAACCAGCCATTGGATCTTTTATGCTTTTGTCTGATAGACTAAAGAGCCCTCTACTATCAGATATCTTCTCTCTGAATAGCTACTTATAAGAGTGTGATTAAATCACTTCCTAGCCTTCTCTGCGATAAGATAAATAGAGCTTTTAAACTTCCATTGCAAGGCATATTTTCCAGCCCATAAACCATTCTTATAGTTCTCCAATTCCCCTCCAATTTTTTCAGCATCCTTTCTAAAATGTGCACACCAGAACTTGTAATAGGATTCCAGCAGTGGTCTCACCAATTCCATATACATTAGGGGAGATGATATTACCTCTCATGCATGATGATTCCCTGTCATGATAGCCCTTTTGACCACATCATCACACTGGGACCTCATATTCAGTTGGTCACCTATAAAGACCTCTTAAGTCCTTTTATGAATCACTGCTTTCCAGAATACAGACTTCCATATTGTAGTGTGACCTACATTTTCTATCCGTTGATGTATGACCTGCACTTGCCTGTATTAAAAACACGTATTGTTTGATTGCACTCAGCCTGCCAAATGATCCTGTTTGCTTTGTTGTGGGTAAACGTCAAATGCAGGACTCTACCATATCAATACATTCCGGGCCACATGTTCACAAATCGCTTGTTTTGTTGCACCTGCAAATCGCATCTCTATTTACATGCACAAGTGGTGGTTCTGCCTACAAAGGAACAGGAGTACTTGTGGCACCTTAGAGACTAACAAATTTATTAGAGCATAAGCTTTCGTGGG